GAATACTTAAGAGCTTTCATTTTTCACCATTAAAGGAGGCGAAAGTTTAATTTTTTGGCTGCGAGGTATTATAAGAGCATAATAGCATGCACCAAAAATGTTTTCCATTCGCCAAAAAATTTCAACCGAATTTAAGATTTCTTTCTGTTTTCTAAATCCCCCCCCCCCATTCACTCTCTCTTTTCAAAAAAGGACAATTTTCAAAACCAACGGTATTTTGTAACAATGTTAGAGTGGCAAAGACTGAAGTTGAAGCTTGAATATTTTAGCTGAACGAAAAGTCAAGACTCAAGCCAGACTTCATCGATTTTGTTTTCGATACAAATCGTTCTCCGGTACACTCATGGGCGTCAGATAGAAATGTCAATCCATAATGAATATAAATGGTGCAAGTTTAAGTAAAGGAGCCAAACGCATCGATACAATTTTAGATACCCCGACCTGTATGCGGCAAGCAAAAATATAAAATAATATCGTTGCTGAATCAGGGTCGGCGGTATCACGGCTCAACTGATGTGTAAACGTTTATTGTGTTTTCGTGAAAGCAAAGGTTAATTTACGATGATTTATTATGGCAATCATTCGATTAAAGAATACTTTACAGGCATTGAAAAAGTACATTTCTTTGATAGCCAACATCCCTCCGATGAAAACAAAAATGTGACCTTCATGACAGCGCCTTGATCCTTGATGCAACTATTCGTGTTCCATGGAAGTACGTGTTGCATATGTAAACATTGAAGGCGCGCTATTCTTCTTCTATGAATAGATGCGTTGGTACGATGGTAATACTGACAGCTGACAGAATGCAAATGTTCGTGCTCAAAAGATGTGCGTATGTGCGTGTTGAACAATGTGAAAATGAAGGCGCTATCGCCTTCATAACTTTTTGGCCTACCAGCGATGGTGATTTGGCACCTGGATATTACGACTATTATTGACAGCACCTGCAAAATTCAATAGAATGTATTTTGCTACTATAAAAGAGCAGAAGTTCGTTTTCAGTAACACTGAAGTATACTTTTCCTGGTAAAACTGACCCAAAACTGTAACTCCATTTTTTTAAAATTCCGTTGTCTCGTTTTCAAGCTCTTAAATGTTTGTCGAGAGTAGATTTTTGAAAATTTTGGATATGTTTTAATGGTTATTCGCAGCTAACATCGATAGAGCAACTATAAATAATCAATTTCTCTGGAAAAAAACAATACAACAAAATCGATTGCCCTCAGAAATTGAATAAATAGGGGAAAATGTAACATTTCAATTTAAACTCCGCATATTCCTTGCTTTGTCATGTTTACATTTCTAAGGAACACCCAGAGTTTTACCAAAAAATTTATCAGCTCTGATCAATCTCTGCAGTGAACCTCATTTTTTTAAGAAACAATTTAACTCGAATTCTTCTTTTTCCTTGAGCGGGGTCGCAAACAGTGTCTGAGATCCGATGCTAACAATTTCAATCTGGCGTCTAAAATCTCATTTAAAAAATGTCAAATCTGACAACGCCGTAGAATAATTATTTATTTCATAAATTCCATTGAACCCCGACAACGGTTCCTTTTTCCCCGTCCACTTTTTTGCACATATTTCCTTTCGCTCTTACAAATAATTCGAGCGATTCGTAACATTATGACTAACTCCTGTCACAATATGAGGTCAGCTATCGTAACTCGAACGATAACTAGCCTGTCTCAGGTTGATCGGGAGGCACGCTGCCGGCTTAAGGAGAAACATCTTATGAACATTCGGACGTTGACAATTTCACCGGATAAAATATCTATTTGAGAGAAAAATTATCGATATTTTCCCTCGAAATTTTCATTTAAATATCAAATTGAGAAGAAAATTCTTCAGAAATTTCAAAGGAGAAATTCATCGAAACTCACAGAAAATGTGCATTTTACCGCCATAATACGGCAACTTCCACATGTTCATACGGCGTTTTTCCTTACCGTGGTCGTGGGGGTTCGCGGAATTTCCTTAAAACTGCGTCTTCGGTTGAACGCGAGATTATCACCTCGCTGGACATGAGCAATAATTCCCAGGAATGAGTAGTGCCCGCAGGGCAGTTTTTATGAATACAAATCAGCAAGTGTGCTCGTGATGACACCATAGGCCGATACAATTTGCGACGTAACGTCCACATACAGGGTCTTCAGAAAGTCCGGCGCCTCCCAGAAGTAACTTATAAACGGTTTCACTATGAGTCAAATGAAGTTTTGAGAGTATGCCTTGCTCAGTAGTGCTTGCTTTTGAGCCCATTTTTAATTGCGTTACGTTTTTTCTTCAAAAATTGTCAATTATTTTGGAACATTTTGAATTTCAAATTTATTTATTTTCTCGGTTTAATTTATGATTATTATTTATTTTTACTCATCTTTCTTCTTGCGATGCAATAATTAATGAAGGCTCCCGTTTAAATTATTAAGTTAGGGTTTGCTCAGCAGAGCACACTGGAAAAAAGTTTGGTTACACCTACCGTAGTGTCCGTTTGGTTTGCAAACCCAAAAATTCGGTTAAGCGAATCTATAATTATTCGGTAAATAACCAAACTATTCGGTAAGCAGTAAGCACATACCGAATAGTTCAGTAATTACTCACCGAACACTTCGATTTGCATTACCGAATCTCGGTTCAGCAAACCGAATTTTCGGTTATATAAACCAAAGCTTTCCGTGTCCCATATGGAATAAACTGTACGGGTAACCAATTTTTTTTTTTTTTTTTTTTTTTTTTTTTTTTTTTTTTTTTTAGTGAGGGGGTCACCTCAAAATTTTGAGTATACCCAAAGGTCGGTACTTCAGACTAAAACCCTCTTAAATCATCATTTGGCTCTTGGCGAATAATTGTTCGAAGGTTATTTGGGGGAGGCGGACTTCCTAAAAACCCTGTAGCACCGTTGAGGTATATCATCAGAGAGTATATGCTTGGTCAAGTAAAAGAGTTTTGATAAAATCTTGATGTAGTGACCGGGAATTCTGACTTCAACTGTCAAGCTGCAGAGCAGTCACATCCACACTGAAACTTATTCGATAGAGCCATCGAGCGAATGAATTTTCGAGTTAAAATTAATCATTTTGAAGCTGGTTGTGAGGCAATTCTATACAAGAAGAATGGAAGATAAAAACAAGAATTGGCCTTGCAAGAAGAATGGAAGATAAAAATTACAAAAGTCTTTCGGGTGGCTTCGAATAGATTGGATGTTTGTCCTTACTCATTGTTCTAGATGTGATGCTACTAAACTATGTGTTCAATCGGAAAATTCACTCAGTGGGTGGGCCTCATCAAAAAGGGTGTAAAAAAAACTTAAGTAGCAATGGAGTTTATTGGAGCTTTTGATGGTTTTAAGAGTATACTACCCGTCTCCAGAAAAGTCGGGGCGCTCCCTAATTTTTTATGCGTCTCTATCTAACGTATTGCTCCACTTTTATACTACTGCACTTAAGTCTTTTTTCAACATTCGCTATGTAGGTACACATAATTGGTTTGCCTTCCCTGCTGAAAATGATGAGTAGGCTTACTCGTGCTTTACCAACGACGGCTCGTAAGAATTGTAACAATAAATCAATCTGGATCATTTGAATTCATTGATTGGCTGCCCTTTTGGGCCATACTGTCCATAGAGTCGTGATGTAATTGTGAGAGCTGGCGCCAATTTTAAGCATTTTCCAGGTCTCAAATTCTGAGACTCCTGTGTCACGTCGGGTCACTTTTTCGATACATAATCGAATACTTTCGGTACACGGGGACCCGGAAATCCGATGTAAACAAAGAGGATAGGAATTATTACGTTTACTACGTCGCCAATTCGGATTGAAAATGTATAAAAAAGTGACGTATGCTCGGCGCACACCGGGCTTGGAACTCGTCGACCAGAACAAGGCGCCAGCTTTCCTGTTTACATTACGACACCATGTACTCTATTATTTTGACCCATAGAACACACTGCCGTGCTAAGGAAAAGCGCCGTATGAACATTCGAGAGTTGCCACATTTCCTTCGATACAGTGCTTATTTTTGAGAAAATCTATGAATAATTTTCCTTGAAATTTTCAGGTGCTTCAGGTGAAATTGCGTACAAAATAATCTAAAAAACCGAAAGGAAAATATTCATAAAACCAGGAAATTCATGTTTTATCAAAGGAAATTTTGCAAAGCCTGAAGGTTCATACGGCGTTTTTCCTTACTGCCGCGCTAAGGAAGCACGCCGTATGAGCCTTCAGACGTTGCCAAATTTTCTTCGATAAAAACCCAATTCACAGGGAAAATTGTGAATATTATTTTCCAAAATTTTCAGACCATTTTGTACGCAACTTACTCTAATACATCTGAAAATTTCAAAGAAAAATGCGCATAAATGTGGTCAAAAATACTATCATGTCTCCCCGAGGGAAGTTGGGCAACTCTCGAATGTTCATACGGCGTTCTTTCTTAGCACGGCAGCTTAGCACGGCAGCAAACTCCTGCAGTCTGGCCGTTTAACCCTGGATCACCCTGTATAGGTACTCCAGCTTTGTCCACTGAAAAAAAATTCTCGGCGTTTTTATCAAGGTCTGTTGGTACCTTTACCATCTCACTTTTTTTACCAATTTTTGGTAATTTTACCAAGACAGACTGGTAAGCTTACCTAATAACCGGTATTTTTACCGTTTTTTTCAGGTAAGAATACCTCTTTTATTGGTAATCAATTCCCGGTAACTTTGCCATTTTTTCTCGGTAATTCTACCACAGTCGATAAAAAATATTGGCGTTTTTACCAAGGTCCTGTAAAATTACCGAGAAAGTTCAATAATTTTACCGAGATTTCTTGGTAAAATTAATAATTCCATAAATGGTAATTTTACCCAGAAAAAATCGGGATCAAGTAGAACCCTGGATTCTTGGTAATTTTATCCTTTTCTTAGTAAAGACATCGAGATTTTTTTTCATTGTCCATCGATTTCAATAATAAGCCTGGTAAGTCACTATATTTGACCATCGCTTCTTTCTCTCTGTTTCAGCGACCCAGCCGAGCCCTCGCACTCGACCATGAAACACAAGTAGAAACCTCGAAACCCTCGAAAACCTAACCTCTCGTTCCCTCCGCGCCGCACACCCGCCCGACGATGTCCCAAACGCCGGAGCCTCCGCCGGAGAAGGTGCCGCTGCGGGCGACGATGGAGGACATCGACTTGGGCTCGGACACGGAGACGGACAAGAAGGACGACTCGGAGGTCAAGCTCGAGGCGAAGATGTCCCTCCTCAACGGGATCACCGTCATCGTCGGGAGCATCATCGGCTCCGGGATCTTCGTCTCCCCGTCCGGGGTGCTCAGGACCACCGGCTCCGTCAATATGGCGCTTATAGTTTGGACTATATCCGGGGTGTTCTCCATGGTGAGTTACGCTTACAACTTACAACTTACACTGCAGGAAAAAAAAAAAAAAAAAAAAAAAAAAAAAAAAAAAAAAAAAAAAAAAAAACATTGGATCTAGAGTTCAGACTCTTGAAAACATTGACAAGAAAAGGGACTCTTGATTCAATCAGATTTAAGCTTAAATCAAAAGGAAATCCGCTCAAATTAAGAGGCTTGGTTCTTGATTTAAGTTTAAATCTGATTGAATTAAGAGCATTTTTTCTTGTCGATGTTTTTAAGAGTCTGGACTCTAGATCCAATGTGTTTTTTTTTCCAGTGTATAACTGTTCACACTGGAAAAAAAAAATTCGATCATGTGGACCGAACGTCCGGTGTTCAAAATCATCCCAAATATTTGGTTTGTCAAACTGATCTTTCGATTTTTGAAACCGATCTTTCAGTTTGTCAAACCGAACTTTCAGTTTGTCAAATTGAACTTTCAGTCTGTCAAGTGTGTCAGTTTTCACTTTACCGCACAAGTTCGGTTACTCGAATGACTATATCCGGTTTTTTCTCCATGGTTAGTAACGGTTATAGATTACAACTTCTGACTGTTCACACTGGGGGAAAAAAATTCGGTCATGTGAACCGAACGTCCGGTGTGCAAAATCATCCCAAATATTTGATTTGTCAAACTGAACTTTCGATTTCTGAAACCGAACTTTCAGTTTGTCCAACCGAACTTTCAGTTTGTCAAATCGAACTTTCGGTTTGTCAAACCGAACTCTCGGTTTGTCAAATCGAACTTTCAGTTTGTCAAGTTTGTCAGTTTTCACTTTACCGCACAAGTTCGGTTACTCGAACAACTTTATATCCGTTTTTTTCTCCATGGTTAGTAACGGTTATAAATTACAACTTCTGACTGTTCCCACTGGGAAAAAAAAGTCGGCCATGTGAACCGAACGTTCGGTGTTCACTATCATCCCAACTATTTGGTTTGTCGAACTGAACTATCGATGCGTGTAACTGAACGTTCGGCTTATGTGGCCAAACTTAGTTGATCGATTCACTATACCGCACAAGTTCGGTTACACGAACGACTGTATCCGGTGCATATTCCATGGTGAGTTACGATTACAACTTAAAACTGTTCACACTGAAAATAAAATTCGGTCATGTGAACCGAACGATCGGTGTTCCATACCATCCCCAGTATTCGGTTTGTCAAACTGAATATTCGGTTCGTGTAACCGAACGTTCAGCATATTATGTGACCGAACTTAGTTCGTCGTAAAAATGCAGATAATGTTTCGAGCTTTTGCGTGATTCCCACACAGACGATGGGACCTTTGACTAAAAAGATATTTTTTTCACAAAAAACTTGTTTCCTTGTTACTTGTGTTTTGAACGTGTCGCTTTTGACAACGGCTGATTTTAATATATGCACAAATTTTAAGCAAAAATCACTGCTCTCTCAAAGAAATTCAGGGGAGAGATCTTATGCGGTTAATGGAACACAGTTATTTTGACTTGAGTATAAATTAAAAACGCAGAGAAGTTGCCGGGGATAGTTTAAAGCACTAACCACCGCTCAATGCCTTTAAAAGTAATGCAAACTGCGAAGTCCTAATGTCTGCAAAACTGGAGGTATGCATCAGTATTGAAGGCGCTACTGAGGCTAGTCCACAGTTTTGAGCTCCTTCGACATGGATGGTCATATCTGTAGTAGACTAGTGGCATCGCCATGTAAATTGTCATGGATTGCATTGAAAGGTGAGGCCTTTTGAGAGCCCAGTGGGCAGACTTTCTTCATCCAGCACCATTCTCAAAGCTTTTATAGATCGTATTTGATAGTAGTTCGATGTATCGTTTGGTTCAAAACAATAGAAAATTACCTCAAACAAGAATTTTAGGATTCAAGTGGGAAACCTGAAAACGAGAAAATTCCCAACAATTTCACTTTTCATTGCCATTTTATTGTTATTATACTCATAAAAATAAAAAAATCTATCACAAGAAACCCGTTCCCTCAGAGTACTCAATTGACTTTCTAAGCCATGTTTAAATGTTGAACCAATCGACTTCGATACAATGGGCGCTATTACTGCCGTGCTAAGGAAAAACGCCGTATGAGCATCCGAGAGTTGCCAAATTTCCTCCAACAAATCGTTCATTTTTGAGGATTTCAGATAATTTAGATCTGATTGCGAATAAAATTCTTCGAAAAATTGGAGGAAAAATATTTACAGATTTGCCTGAAATTTTCATTTTATCAAAGGTAATTTGGCAACGTCTGAAGGCTCATACGGTGTTCTTCCTTAGCACGGCAGATTAGTGGCGCGTCATCATAGGGATTCTCCATATCGAATTGGATCCAAACAATAACATTGGCATACCGTCTTTCACTGCTACCAATGCGAAAATATCGATATATTTCGCTTTTCTGTGACGTGGCACTTAATAGCGTCTATCTCACCTGTTCGATGTATCAAATGCGATCCATAGTGGGTCACAAGCGTAGTTCAGAGGATTAATACTGTACGCATAAATTCAGCGCTAATCCTCAATTCCAAGCTTTGTTAAAATAAAATGCATTTTTGTAATTTATTTATGTACCTCGCCGAGCCTTTGACAAACCATCCCCGTAAAGGTGGGCACAGAGGGCGTAACCGTGCTTCCATCCTCGCCTTGCGTTTTTTTCCCGTCCGCAGACAGTTCCAATAAATTGAAGAACACAAATTTAAGCCATAATCAATCAATATCAAGTTAACTCTCCCTCTGTCCGGACTGTCCACAAGCCGCACAATGGATCGAGTCAATAGGAGAGATCGGACAAAATGTAGAAACTTTAAAAGCCTTAACGTCGTTTATACAGAATTTTGAAGTTTTAAAAGTAGTTCCATTGGTTTCCTCGTGAAAATTACCTCTAAAAGCACCCTTTGAAATTTAAAATGTGACGAAATAAACATAAAAATTTGCAGTTTTAGTAAAAAATTTCATGTCCGACCACTTTTAGTGACTTGATCCACTGTGAGTCGTGGGTTTCGAGTTTAAAAATAAATATGTTATCGATGGATAATGCGCCCATAAGCGAATCATGTAACCTTGCAAAGGTGTACATGTTGTAACGTTTTATTTTTGTGTCAGTTTCTCGCGAATTCAATTAAAAAGTTTCACGGTTGAGGAGGTTGATTGACATTCCGCTACTGACATCCTGAGCTAAACGCGTCTGAAGTTTTAACAATTCGGTACCCACCCCGTGGCACTATGTATATTAGACTTGAAGTCCGGTGTTCCCCTTATAAAAGAACGTAACTAAATTTTAATGTTGCCAAACTTTTCCTCAAAAATGGCATTATTACTAGAAGAATCTTGGGAATTTCTAACTGAAATTTTCGTCGATTTTCCCCCTTATTTCGTGCAAAAATTGGAGTTTTTGTCAACGAAAATTGTTTGGGTACACTCTTGAAATAAATTGAAGTTTTACAGCCAATTTTGCAACCTTGGAATGAAGTAACTTTCTCTTGCGCGGGGACGAATCGTGCTTCAAAGTTGAAAATTGGTTTCTAATGTTCACATCAAATTAGTGTCTGTCAAGCAAATACTATGCAAATTTCTTAAAATCCTTTCTTTGTTAAAATGACGGTGGATAGGTCGATTGTTTTATGAATAAAATCGGGCTCGGATCCTCAAGTCTGGAAGGTCTTAAAAGCAACCAATTCAAATGCCGAAAATTTCAACATTCTATTTCAACGGAGATGTCTCCTGTTTTAATAAATAAAAAAAAGTATTATTATACGCGGTGCATAAACGCCGCATGTACCTTCAAATGTTGCCACAGTTCTTCAAACAAAATGTTTATTTTTGCAAGAAAATTTACTAAAGAGCAGAATTCATCAAATAGTTTTAAAGCTTCTTTTCGAATCTTCACATCTCAAGAGCCTAGAGGAAAAATTAAAACATTAAATAATCGTGGTTAATATTGTGAAAGAAAATAGCAGAGAACGTATTCACATTCGTCCTAAAATGAATGTTCTCAGGCTGATATTTTTTTGTATTGTAAAGGACCAAAAAAATGCCGATCTCATCACACGTGGACGGTCCTCGACTTTTTGACTCAGCTGTCGTTCAAATCGAGATTTTCATATCAGCTTGGAAAATGAAAGAATTTCCAGACAAACACATTACGCAATCAAAATTGAAAACAAATTCACGAGGAATGCTCTGCTTTTGCGTATCAACAACGCGAAAATAATTTGTAAAACGTAAAAATAAAAAGAGAAGAATTTTCCGAAAAAAAATGTCTGCGAATGCAATTTTTACCTCGGCAGTTGGATACTTTGACCATGCAACGACTGCATCGCTGTAAAGTTAAGACGTAAATTCAAACAACCGAAAAATTGCTTTCGTTTTAAAATTTTGAAATTTTGAACACATGTTTGCAATTTTTCCTTGTTAGCACTGAAGTGGACGTAATGCAAAACTCCCAGGTTGAAGATCTCTGAGAATATTGATAATCATAAAAAATGAAAAAGAAAATTACGACGTGCGGCTATTTAAAAACACTAGCTTTGTTTAGTTACATATATTAAGGCATATTTTGCCGATAATTCTAATTTAAATTTCCGACCTGAATCGACAAAAATTGTTTCCTTTAAACATTCTCTACCGGTCACTGGGGAGCCTTTTCCTCGTGAATGGTCCCTTAATAAGTTCCTCGGAGAGACAATTCAACAGACAGGGACATTTTAGACGTAGATATTAAATCACTAACATGTAATTGGTCAATTGGTTGCGGAGGCACTAATTTTTCACTTGACCGAAACAAACACGCGAAAGTCAATCAGGAATACATATTATTCACAATCGACTAAAATACCAAGAGTGTTTGACTTGCCTTTAATTGAGCTTTATCTATTCAATAACTAGCTGTTGACTGAATTACCGAATAATTGAGAGTTATAGCCTGTGTAATCTAATTAGTAATTACGGTTAGCCAGGAGAGCTTCAGTTTTCGCTAACGTCTATCCAGATTATTTCGGCAGTAAGTCAACTGACGCTGCCTTTTTGGCGTAGATAATTAAAAAAATATACGCTTGGATAATCGCTTTGGATAATCGGATATCATGAAGTGGCATAACTATCCCCACCCTTATGGGCATTTTTAGAGAGGAAATATTTTAAATAACTTTTACACTGATTTAGAAACCACAGCAGAGTGCATATCGACGGCGTAAGTCCGCAATCAGATAGCTCGTTTGCGGTGTCTGAAAATCTCCGCCTCCGTGTTATTTTTTTTAAGAAGAACAAATTGACATCATTCCTAGAAGTTTTTGCAGAATTTTTTCCGCACAGAGAGGAAAATTAACTTTAAAAATGCCTCACGCGGAAAAAGCTACCTTGTTACTATGAAAAAGGCCTTAGCCGTATTTGATTCACGAAACGTCCTTTTCATGCACACCAGACTGTCTTGTTAGGAGGACAAGAAGAAGAGTTTCGTTTCAGTGACAATGCGTCCTTTCGATGGTGAAACTGCAGACATTTTTATCTCGCTTTCGGGCGTTGCAGACTTTCTGTCGTAACTTCTGTCTGTTTATTTTCTACTCGGAGAACTTCTCAACGTCAATTTTTGAAAATTGCAGTGATTTTTTTCTCTTCATAAAGAATATTCGTAGAAGCTTTGAAAGCTTATATTTTTGAAAATATGGAACAAAAAAGTTCAAGAGTGGTTTCATTATTTTTTTCCTGAAATTTTCTTCCAAATACACCTCTTAAAATTGATTTTCTGACGTTATGAACATCAAAAATTAAAATTTTAGCGAAAAATTCCATGTCCGACCTCTTTTATTGGGTCGTTCCACTTTGTGACCCAGTGGCAAAAATGTGATCATGTAACCGCAATTTACCGCAATCTGTGCTATTCGTATAAATCGAGTACGATATCCATTTTTTTTTTTTTCCATGTGGATGAATCACTTTGATGCAGGAGCATTCGGTAATAAGGGGCAAAAAAAAAATGTGGGTAGTTTCATCAAGCATCAAACAGTAGTCTGAAAACGTCACTCTGTCGTGATTAACTTTACAGGTCTCTTGATCGAGCGCGGTTCAGAGAGGGTGAGATTTATTACGTCGCACAGTGGATTGAGTCAATAGGAGAAGTCGGACATGGAATTTTTGACTAAAACTGCAACTTTTGACGTTAAGTTCGTCACATTTTAAATTTTAAGGGATGCATCCAGAAGAATATTTCAAGACACCAATAGTACCAATTTTAAAATCTTAAATTTTTGTATAAATGAACCCATGAGCTTTTAAAGTTTCCAAGTTTTGTCCGATCTCTCCCATTGACTCGATCCACTGAGGGGCGTTTAAACACGAACACCTGGTCGTAAACAAGGCTATTAAAGAAATTCACTTGTTCCAGGGACTTCAAGACACCAAATATCTTCTGTTTCCTTGTCCCTTCCGTAAAACACCTCGAAGATTCGGAAGAAGAGGCGATCTTATAAAACGAGATTATTTCATTTGAATGTTGTTGGAGGTAGAGTCCCTTTATACTGAGAGTCAAGACAATTCGGCTCATGGATGTCATAAACGGGAATAAAGATTACAGAAATTGAACGTTTTTTGTAATATTTGATCGGCCCATTCTCAAATGCCTTTCTCCGTTCCTCCTCTCATTCCGTTTGTTCCTTGCCGAACCCGTAATTCCCTGGTCCATTCCAGATTAAAATCTTTGCAATTGGTGAAAATGTAATCTTTATTCCCGTTTGTGACACTGTGGAGGCCTAAAATACGGGAACCAATCAGAAATGGATTCAAATTGTCTTGACTCTCAGTATAAAGGGACTCTAGTTGGAGGCATGTGAGCCTTCATCCCCTCTCCCTCTTCCTTTGTCACCTACATGTCACTCACCTCCAGATCCCTACAAAGTACGTTATTTCAAGCGTACTCGTCTCCCTTTTTGCTTAAGTGTGGGCTTGTAGCAAACCTTTGCTAAAGGTTTATCACACACTGAGTCATGTGTTAAATATTAAAAATAACATGGTATCGAAATTGTTCGTGTTAAGTGGAGAATCGGTCAAGATGAATTGCCGCTTAAGTCGAATTTTTTTCAGTCCCTACATGAATTGACTTAGCAAGCTTTCATTATATCTACCTAGGCATTTGACCACCAGCTGCCTGATTTGACTATTTATGCCTGCTACAGATGCGTTTCCTGCCGTCTATTTCTACAAATTTTTGACATTGCGATGACATGTTTGACTGCAGGTTGGCGCCTACTGCTACGCGGAGCTGGGGTGCATGATCTCCAAGTCGGGGGCCGACTACGCGTACATCATGGAGACGTTCGGGCCTTTCCTGGCGTTCATCCGGCTCTGGATCGAGTGCATGATTGTCCGCCCCTGCTCTCAGGCCATCGTCGCCCTCACCTTCAGCATCTACGTCCTCAAGCCCTTCTTCGTCGACTGCGACCCGCCCGACCTATCCGTCAGGCTCCTCGCCGTCTGCTGCATAAGTGAGTACAAATCAACATATCATTTTCATGTACAGGGTCGTCCAAGGATGAACACCAAAGAGAAAATGGATTGCATTTTGCAAGAAGGAACCAGAAGCATTGCAATGGTGCTAAGATTGAACAACTTCATCTTTTGCAATAAAATTAATGAAACCATGAAAAAATATGATATTTACACGAAAATTTTTGTTTTGAATTTACAGTTTTCGTTGAGTAAAATAGAAACTGTTAATGGATAATCAGGTTTTTCTTCCAAGTCAAAAGAAGTTTCACAATTTTAGCAACATTGAAATACTCCTGGTTACTTTTTTAGAACGCAATCCAAATGAATCAGTGAGTTCGAAAACACACCAACTCGGAAAAAAAAAAAAATTGTTCAGGAAACACCTAAAACTGCGCAGCGGGCGAAGAAGTAAGTTCAAGAAAAACCTTTTTGATGCTAAGGGACTAGTACTCAGAGACTTTGTAAAGCACCGAGTTGAAATCGATACACCATGTTTGATGACAGAGAACTAAGCGCGTTTAAAAGCTGGTGTGTTTTTGTTCTCACCGACTATCAGATACTGATTTTTCATAGTCTCCCCCTGAAAAATGTATATTTTTCAACCTGAATAACGCTTGAATATTTATATAACTTGTTGGAACAAGGTATACTGAACCGGAAAAAGAAAACCGCATGGTCACACGTTTCCCTTGAGATGACCAAAAATTGGTATTTCCAATGGAATATTTCGATTCTTCCCTTTTCCGATTGCAATTTCGAAATTTCCTTTTGCGTGCAAATGCTTCTATCCATAAGTGTTACTAAACCGTAAGAAAGTGAAAATCGAAAAAAATCCGAGTTGGTGTGTTTTCGAACTCACTGATTCAAATAAGAGCCCACATGGTATAGGAAGAAGTCGTGGCCGCCTGACCTGGCCTGATCATCCTGCGCTAGCTTTTTCAGCCAATCAGACACCCGACGACCGCCTTTGAACTCCTCATGGAAAATCGAAACGACGTGTTTTTTTTTCCAAATTCAGTCGATTTTATGGCAAAAATAGGTTAACGACTGGCTTCTCGAGGAATTAGCGTTTTAGTTGATGTACCTGAATACATTCCACCTTTTCCAAGATTCACCAAAGGTCTTGATTTTTGAAATTTCAATGTTCCTTCACTTGGGTCGATGTTTTCGACCGTCCCGCTGGCTCAGGTGGAAGAAAATTGAAATTTCGAAAATCAAGATCTTGGATGATTTTTGGAGAAAATGTTACACATCAATCGAAACGCGAGAACCTCGAAAAGTCAGTCGTGAACCTATTTTTGCCGAAAAACCAACTGAATTCGATAAAAACATGCTTTCGATTTCCCACGATAAACTGCCCTCATACGCAGTAAATTTGAAAAAGCGTGTAACATACTACGCTGATTACGCGCCAAGGAGTAAATGCAGACTTTTTACTATGCCTATCGTGATTTTAAGCGAATTTTCTATTGGAAAGTCTATCCAGAAACGAGTACAGTCGAGTTTTCCACAATTTAAAATAAACCAGAAATGAAAGGGATATATTCCTATCTTAATTATTAATCCCAGCATTAAAGTAAACCTATATAAATAACCAAAATTAAATATATAAAATAAAATAAAAACAAGTATGACTAAAGAGAAACTTCCTTGAACAAGATAATACCTTATTATTATTTCTCTAACTCTATATCCCTTTCCTGATGTACAAAAACCCATAAACAAGATAAGACAAACTTCCATAAACAACAACTAGACAACCAGCCGTGTCTCTTGCTTGCAGTAATGCAGTATACCCACTTTGAGTGAAGATTTTGCAATGTTGAGATGCAGTTACATTCTTTCCTTTAGAAAAAGTCAATATTGGCTTAAAATACCAATTGCTCTCTCGCTTACACTGGAAATGGTCTAAAAACAGATGTCTAATGGAGGGACAACTCGGATCAAAAGAACGACAAGACGAGAGGGCATGCCTGCGGGTGTCTGGCAATTCAATTTTCTTTCGCTAACAGGCGCAGCCGGAGTCCAGTGGAGGCGAACTTTTATTCGGGAGAGCTTTGGAAGCTTGCATAATGCGCTCAGCTTGGACAGACCGTCGTCGCTCCTCTGACGCAAGGACTTATCTCAATTTCTAAGAGAGCCATTTTATACATATAAATCCATGCTCTCTGGGGCTCATGCGAAAATCGAATCACGCCCTTACGTCAGAGGAGCGACGAGATAAGAGGATCGCGAAATTATTTACAGCGCGGGTGGCGCACGGTGATCTTCGAAATGGAGATGTTGCATGTGTGAGGAGTTTGCGATTTGACTATCGATTCTTATGTAAAAGTTCGCGAGAAACGCGATGGTGCCACTGGTTTCATCTGGAATCAACTCCCAAGCTCAAAAAAAGCTCTCAAGTTGAGGCCAAAATGGATGAGATATCCCACGCTATCCTGAGAGGCCACGTCTACATCAAGACAAACGCTCTATGCAAAGATAGGGAGCAAAGACATTAGCAGGGTTGCCGTTTTTTTCAGTTTTAGAGTCCCCAAATAAAGTGGCAGCCCTATCAATGTATTTGCTCCCTATCTTTGCATGGAAAGTTTGTCTTGATTGAGAGGTGGACCCTCAGGATAGCGTGGGATAGGATATCCCCTCCATTTTGGCCTCAAGTTGAGAGCTTTTTTGAGCTTAGGAGTTGATTTCAGAGAAAACCAGTGGCACCATCGTGTTTCTCGCGAACTTTTACGTAAGAATCAACGGTCAAATCGCAAATTCCTCACATAGATTTTAGATCCAATAAAAAATGTTGAATATATGCTCCTGCAGGCTGATGATTGAAATTGATAGACAAAGCAATAGACAAAGGATACAAACTGAAAATGGAGCGATTCTGAAGTGGGTGGATGGAATGAGTAAAGGAGGTGATTCCTCGGTACATTCCAGTTTATAATCTTCGCAACTGGTAAAACTATAATCTTTATATTCGTTTGTGACACTGTGAAGGCCTAGAATACGGGAACCAATCAGAAATGGCTTCGCTCTGTCTTTACCCTCAGTGTAAAGGGACTCTATTGCGCCGTTATTGCGAGCGTAATTCCTCTAGAGCAACTATTTTAACTCTCCGGAGATGAAATTGCATATCCGATGAAATGAAGGAACTTCGAATCCGGGGACCCGAAACCACGCCGGCGCTCGCCGTTGCGCCGTTAATGCGAGCGTGATTTCTTGAGCAACTATTTTAACTCTCCGGAGATGAAATTGCATATCCGATGAAATGAAGGAGGTTTGAATGGGGGGACTCGCAACCTAGCCTAGCTATCTAGTTTAAGGAACCACATCATGCGCCTTGACAGCAAGTGTGATTTCTTTCAAGCAAGGTCATTAACTTCCAAAGGGTCGTATTGTACATTCAACGAAATGATGGAGCTTCCTGCCTAATTAAACCAACTAATCACGTGTGAAATGAGTATTAATATCAGCTTTGAAGTAGATTCCAATTTAACTAGTAGCATATATTGTCTCTGTCAAAAACTAACAAAGTCAAAAAAATGTATTGAACTTATGGCACGTTGGTGATCCCTTTAAAAAGCTCGTTTAAGACCTAGATTTCATTTTTTTATATCTAAATGATGCCAATTTTTACAGAAACTCATTCTCTACTTGAGTGAATAATTATTTTGTCTAAAAAGTTAGCAAAAAAATCAGAATTTCAATCCAAGTAGGTAAGAAAAATTTGATTATTTGCCAGGCAGATGACAAAATGCCTGATTTGATTATTTGCTTCTGATATATAAACCAAAATGGTAGGAGAACTCACAGCTAAAAGCTGGGGATCCATCGCTGTCGTGCAAGGGAAGAACGTCTTTTGAACCCTCAGGCGTTGCCAAATGTCCTTTGATAAAATGCGAATTTCCTAGTAAATTTATGAATATTTTCCTTCTAATTTTTCAAATATTTTTTTTCGCGATTTCACCTGAAGCTCCTGGAAATTTCAAGGAAAAATATTCATAACTCTCCTCCAAAATAAACATTTTACCGAAGAAAATTTGGCGACTCTCGAATTCTCATACGGCGCACAGTGGATCGAGTAAATCAGAGAGGTCGAACATGAAATTTTCGGCTCCAACTGCAAAATTTGATGTTTAATTCTTCACAATTTCAATTTCAAAGGGTGTTTCTGAAAGAAAATTTTACGACGAAACCAGTGGAACCACTTTCAGGACCTCAAAATTTTGTATGAACGGAGTTACAGGCTTTTAAAGTTTTCAAATTCTGTCCGACCTCTCCCATTGACTCGATCCGCTATGCGACGTTGCCAAATACTGTACTTTACAACTTGCGCATTTTCTAAATCTACCTACGGCACACGGTGGATCGAGTCAATCAGAGAGGCCGGGCATGAAATATTTGATTAAAACTGCTTTCGATGTTCATTCTGTCAGATTTTAAATTTTTAGAGGTGTTTCTGGAAGGAAATTTCACTAGGAACCCAATAAAACCACATTTGGACCGCGTTACACAGAAAGGAACCAAGCTACATCAGCTATTGCCAAATTTAATCGGGAAATTTAATTTTTTACATGAAAGCGGTTGTGCGGATTTTCGTGCAAATTTCAGTGAAAATTCTCCACGGTACGAAGTAAATTCCTTATAATTATCAAAGGAATCCGAACAAACGTCCTCTCGTAAAAAATTTAATCGCCCAGTTAAACTTGGCAACAACTGATGTGGCTTGGTTCCTTTCTGTTAAACTCGGTCCATTTAAAACCTCAAAGTTTTGTTTAAACGGAGTTATAAGCGTTTAAAGTCTCCAAATTTTGTCCGACCCCTCCCTTGAGTCGATTCACTGTGTGTCGGTGCATATTCGACAAAAAAATTGACCTATCGATGGATCAGTTTGCTTTCAACACTCTGAAAATTTCTTTCTTTGCACGACAGATCTCGAAAAAAATTTGTAAAAAAAAATGCAACGGCGTGTTTTCATCGGAAAATACACTGAAAATCCCGG